ACTAATCCTCCTCTTTTTGCTGAGGAAGACGGGCTCTGAGCTAACATTTATCACCAATCCTCCTCTTTTTTTTTTTCCCCCCCAAAGCCCCAGTAGATAGTTGTATGTCATAGTTGCACAGCCTTCTAGTTGCTGTACGTGGGACGCGGCCTCAGCATGGCCGGAGAAGTGGTGTGTCAGTGCGCGCCCGGGATCTGAACCCGGGCCACCAGTAGCGGAGCGCGCGCATTTAACTGCAAAGCCACGGGGCCGGCCCCTATGTGACTGGCTTATTTCATTGAGCATAATATCTTCAAGGTGCAGCCATGTAGCATGTGTCAAAATTTTCTTTTTAAGGCTGAATAATATTCCATTGTGTATATATATACACCACGTTTTGTTTATTCATTCAAATGGTAGACACATGGGTTGCTTACACCTTTTGGCTATTGTAATTAAGGCTGCTATGAACATGGATGTACAAATACCTCAAGTCCCTGCTTTCATTTCTTTTGGGTATATACCCAGAAGTGGAATTGCTGGATCATATAATTCTATTTAATTTTTTGAGGAACTGCCATACTGTTTTCCACAGTAGCTGTACTGTTATTCATTTCCACTAACAATGCTTAAGGGTTCCAACTTCTTCACATCCTTGCCGACACTTGTTATTTTCTGTGTTTTTGATATAGCCATCCCAATGGGTATGGGGTAGTATCTCATTGTGGTTTTGATTTGCATTTCTCTAATGATTAGTGATATTGAACATCTTTTCATGTGCTTATTGGCCATTCGTATATCTTTGGGGAAATGTCTATTCAAGTCCTTTGCCCATTTTTTAAGTTTTTGTTGTTGTTGAGTTGTAGGAGTTCTTTATATACTCTGGATATTAACCTCATATCAGATATATGATTTGTAAATATTTTCTTCTGTTCTGTGGGTTGCCTTTTTACTCTGTTGTGTCCTTTTATGCACACAAGTTTTAAATTTTGATGTTGTCCAGTTTATCTATTTTTTCCTTTATTGCCTGTGCTTTTGGTGTTATATCTAAGAAATCATTGCCAAATTCAATGCCATGAAGATTTCCTCCTGTTTTCTTCTAAGAGTTTTATAGTTTTAGCTCTTACATTTGGGTCTTTGATCCATTTTGAGTTAATTTTTGTTATAGTGTAAGGGAGGGGTCCAACTTTATTCTTTTGCATGTGGATATCCAGTTTTCCCGACACCATTTGTTGAAAAGGCTGTCCTCATAGTACTTGCTTTTGAGTATTTTAATATGTCACAAGCATGTATCACTTTGCAACTTCCTTTTCCCTCACCAGTGTTTTTGAGATTTATCTATGTTGATACATGTAAATGTTGAGATCATTTTTAAAAATCACTTTATATCTATTATATGGACAGTATTTTCTTTATGCATTCCCCTTTTGATAGACAATTAGGTTTTGTTTCCAACTTTTCACCACACCAAATGGCGCTCCAGTGAACATACTCATGAGATGTGCTTATATTTCTTCTGAAAAAGAAGAACCAGGGCCCGCCCCGCAGCACAGCAGTTAAGTGTGCGTGCTCCGCTGCCAGCGGCCCACGTTGGGATCCCGGGCACGCACCGATGTACTGCTTGTCAGGCCATGCTGTAGCAGCGTCCCATGTAAAGTGGAGGAAGATGGGCACGGATGTTAGCTCCGGGCCAATCTTCCTCAGCAAAAAAAAAAAAAAAAAAAGGAGGATTGGCATGGATGTTAGCTCAGGGCTGATCTTCCTCACACACACACAAAAAAAGATCCCCTGGAATAATGCCTTTTTTAATCTGTAAAATGGGGGAAACCTCACTCTTTCCTCCTCCACTGAGAGAGCATCTCAAGCCTTCCAGCCCTGATGCTTTGTCTTAAATCTTAAACCCTGTCACATTCCAAATGCTGAGAAGTCCTCACCCCCAACCCCACTCTTGCTTCCTGTGCCCAGACTACCTAATTACATAGAGTTCACTTTCCGTTCAGGTTTATTCTCAACTAGGGAGGTCCAAAGTCAAGAGCCAAAATGGATGGAGGCTCTTTGCAGATCCACTGGTCCTGGCAGCTATGATCTAAATTTATTTCCCACTGACCCTAAGTAAAATTGAGGTTTGTTGTGAAGGATTAGCTCTCTCTTCTGTCATCTCTGCTCACTATGAGAATTGCCCCTTGAAGTCTTTGTTCTTTATACACATTTTTGTTAGGGAAAAACAAAGATGTTGATCAGAGCTCTCTATTTTGGATGGTAGGCCTCGTTCCCAGCGCCCAGACTGTTATTTTCTCCCTCTATGAGTGTCATTAGCCAACCACAGTCACAGAGTGTGGTAAGCAGGTCAATTTCAGATTAAAGATGTCACTCTCTCTACACGGGTGTTCAAGTTATGCCCACCTCCCAGACAAGCCAAATCAGAGTGCTGTCTGGGCCTGGCTCACCCTGCATGGGAGGACCTAATTCTTAAATAGTTTGAGTCTACCTTTCTCTCCATGGTTCCAGCTGGCCACACAGCCCTCCCTTCTTCAGCCCTCCCCAGAACTGGGATGGTTCTAGGTGGATGGAGGGGTGCAGGGAGGAACAGAATTCTATCCATTTCCAGTGGTTAAAGTTGCTCCTGTGTCATGTCCTGGTTCCCATTATGATTGTAACCCTCAGAACTGTGCGGCCTCAGGGCCAGAGCTCCTTGGTAGAGGGTTGCTGCTTGCCTTAAAATCACAGGCCCGTTTCTAAATTAAGTTTGCAAAAGAATCACCTGGGAGCTTGTTAAAAATGCAGATTCTTTGGCCCCTTCTCCCAGAGATTGGTTCAATAGGTTGTGCCCAGGAATCTGCGTTTCCCCCTACGTACTAAAGGAAGGTTTTGTTTCTTGCTCTTGTTACATGTCAGTCTTAGGGCGCTGTGGCTCTGCTCCACAGATCTTCGTTCCAACATCCAGGCTGAAGGAGCAGCCCTAGTCAAGACAGGCCAGAAAACTGGACTTTTAATAAGTAATTCTGGTGATTCTGGACCACACCTTGTGCAACACTGCCTCAAGTAGTTTTATTTTATTTTATTTTATTATTTTTTTGTGAGGAAGATCAGCCCTGAACTAACATCCGATGCCAGTCCTCCTCTTTTTTGCTGAGGAAGATTGGCCCTGGGCTAACATCCATGCCCATCTTCCTCCACTTTATATGGGACGCCGCCACAGCATGGCTTGATAAGCAGTGTGTCAGTGTGTACCCAGGATACAAACCCGTGAACCCCAGGCCGCCGAAGCGGAGCGCACGCACTTAACCACTGCGCCACTGGGCCAGACCCCTGCCTCAAGTAGTTTTAAAAGGCCAAAGTGTAGGATTAAACGTTATAGTTCTTGGCAGATGAATAATTCCATTGCACATCTAAGACCTCCAAAGATAAGAGCTTTTATTCTGCTAGTTTCCTATGAGGTTCACAGATTCTTCCTTACCACTTGATTACCAATATAGCAAATAACACCTGCTGTAATGTAATTGCTTAGCATCCTTTACTAGTATGATTGTAGCTCACACTTCTCGAGCTCTTATATGTACCAGGCACTAAGCACTTCACATTGATAATCTTATTTCTTCCACTATGATACAGACAGGATTCCATGTGCCCTGGCCTAATGCTGAGCAACAACCCTGGATATCTGGAAGAACTCAGCTTTGTCACTCTTGAATCTTTAGGTAGCTGCTTAGCAGGCCCCGGTGACTTTCTCTAAGGACCCCAAAGCAAGCTTTTCTCCTAAAGGCATTATACTCACCAATTTTTTAAGTGCTGCAAATATTTTCCCCCAAGTCTGTCATCTGTGTTTTAATGTTGATGTTTTCCCTCATACAGAAACTTGCAATATTTGTTTGTGGTAAAATCTGTTTATCTTTTCCCTTACTGCACCTTTTAGGTTTCATGTTATGTTTAGAACAGAACTTCCCACCCCAGAGGTATAAAAATATCCTATATTTTTTCAGTAACTTTCTAGTTTAACTTTTTGTTTTTCCCTCAGGAACTAATTTTTGTGGAAACTGTGAGGTAGAGATCTCTTACTTTAATAGATAGCCAATTTACTACATAATCCATCTTTTTCTCCCACTTAAACACTCCTTTTATCCTATACTAAATTCCTGAATACCTGGACTCTCCCTTTTGTCCATCAGTGTGTTTATCTGATGCTGCTCCAGGTCACCCACCTGGACTCATGACCACTTGAAAGAAATCGGGAAATCCCACAGGACAAGTGCCTTCTACCCACCTCAGCACCACCCCGACTCATCATCATTCAGAATTCACTTAGGGCCGGCCCCGTGGCTTAGTGGTTGGGTGTGCGCGCTCCGCTGCCGGCGGCCCGGGTTTGGATCCTGGGCGTGCACCGACACACTGCTTCTCCAGCCATGCTGAGGCCGCGTCCCACATACAGCAACTAGAAGGATGTGCAGCTATGACATACAACTATCTACTGGGGCTTTGGGGGGGGAAATAAATAAATAAATAAATAAATAAATAAGAATTCACTTAGTAGTCTCACACATTTACTCTTCCAAATGAACTTTAGAACCTGTCAGATTCCAAAAAGTATCCAATCTCACTGGAATTACATTGAATTTATGGGCTGATTTGGGGAGAACCAAAATCTTTACAGGAACATGATAGGTATCATTTGGGTCGACACAGAATGTTCTTAATAGGTCTTCAGTTGATTCTCTTAGATATGATAGGTCGGCCATTCCGTCGTCTACTCTTCCTCATCTCCCTCATCTGCCGTACTGCAGGGGTTAGTGGTGCCAGGACATCACTAAATAATAGCCTTTGCTTGGCTAGCTTCTGACTTTAATGCCTGTGGTGTCTGACTCTTTAGAATGCCATTAACTGTTGGTTTCTGATAGAGACGTTTGGATTAGCATGTTTCCTTCTAATCTTAACTTACTAAGAGTTTTAATAAGGGCTAGATTTTAAATTTTACCAAATATTGCTTCAGCATCTATAGAGACTATCATAAATTTTTCTCTATTAATCGAAGCTGAAATGAAAGCTGATGAGCAGCTATACTGCCTCCCAATTTACTCTCCATAGCCGTGCTCCCTGTGCCAGGAAATGAATACTTCCGGAGAAGGATGTACCAAAGATGAAGCTTCATGGCCTGACTGTAGGGATGGTGCCGGCAGCTCTCTCAAGTTTCCCGTGCACAAGGGGTCTTGGAGGCCTCACTTTCTTTCCAGGGGAAGGAAGTTTTCCAGACCAAAGACCCCCAGGATAGGAAGGAGCTCCCGGGGACAGTGGTATACAGAGTACAGGAACCCAAGAGGAGTCGGGTAGGGTGCAGGACCCCCGCCCCTGCCATCATCCCACAAATCAGCACACAGACCAAATGCCCAGTGTGAGGTGGGGGTTTTGGTACCTGAAGTGTCCTATGACCTCTGGCCATGACACAGTCTCAAGTGAGTCCTTCCTGCCACACTGCAATCCCTCGTCAGGGCGTGCAGGCCAGGGAGCACTTAGAGTGCAGCCATCACAGAAAGCAGCAATTCCTTCTACTCCTCCACCCCACTGCTCACTCTGGGTCCCATTCCCTCCTCCCAGCCGTCAGTCTGCTCCTGCTCGTCACACCAGGACATGCAGTACCTACATACCCACAGGATTCCCCTGGCGCCTGCTCTCGCCTGCAGCGACCCTGACCCACTCAGCCTCCCTTACCTCTTCTGCCCTGCTTCCCCTCCATCCCATTTTGGGAAAAGGATGGGTGCTTGAGCCTGTGCCCAAATGGGCGGCCACTCACAACCCAAAGCGGAGGCTGGCACCGCCCCCGCTGACAAGAGCTTCTCTCCTTGATCTCACTAGCATCTGCCCCATCACCCAGCACTGGGCTTGTGGGTTGCCCCCAAACACAGAAGCAACAATAAAGAGAAAATGAGGGCAGAGCCCAGTCTGTCACAGTTCTGAGAGGTAGATCGGGATGGGATACCCAGTGCGGCTTGTCCAGCCCGACCTTACGTTAAGAGGCAGTCTCTGTGGGTGAACGCACTCTTCAGGCCACAGAAGCCCTAGCCCAAGTGGAGGCGAAAGGTGGCAATCTCCATGGGCTCCAAATAGACGTCAGTGCTGTTGGAGGGCGGCGCCAGAGGGTACAGTAATGTCAAGGAGGTTGGCTGCAGGAATCCCACATCCAGGCCGTGGAAAAGGCTCCCCAGGGCCACCTGTGGAGAGGAGAGAAGGTGCAGGGCTGTGCTGGGTGCTGATACACCAGATAATGCAGCTCTTCCTCTATATAACTTGTCATCTCTTTAAGAATCTCACAGAAGCCGTGGTCCCTCTCAGTAGCAACATGTCTACATATACATAAGAGTCTGCATTCAGTCCCAGGGGCTCCCTGAGATTTGCTCGACCCCAAAGCCTGTCAATGGACCTCAGGGTGGAAACTGCTGCACTGAGCTGTGAGCTCTGCGAGGACAAGGACCATGTCTTGGTTACCTCCTGAATCACTGGTGCCCACAAAGGGTCTGGCACGTGGAGGCATTTATCAGGCTGGCTTAAACAATGGATAAAGCTTACAACATCATAGCATGGTGGTTTTTGGTTTTTCATTTCTGGCGTTTTCTACTTTGTTTGATAGAGGTCCCTCCCTTACTCATGGAACAGACATTCTCCAGCTAAATGCCTCGTCTGGAACTTGCCCCTGTCAGGCCTCAGTAGCTTTGAAAACACATGTCAACAACCTCCCCTTTTCTCTCTAAAAAGCCCGAGTGACACCCCTCTTCAATGCCCGAGCTCACTGCAGTCTCCCCAAGCTCTCTCACCTGCCACTCCCAGGGGCTCCTTTCCCTGCCCTGCTCTCAGCAGGGGCTCCCTTCCCACACCTGGGCCTGCTCACCTTGCCTTGGCTTGTGGTACAGTTGAAGCCCAAGTTCTTGGCCTCAAGGCCACAGTCAAAACCCTTGCGGTGTAAGATGAGTGCAGTTTCTGCCGAGGGCAAGGCATCCTCCTGGATACAGATGATACAAAGGGCAGTGGGGGTGCTCCTCAGAGCTCACAGGTGAGCAGCACCTCTGCCTGGAAGGCAGTACTGGGACAGGGAGGAGTGTGGGTGAGGAAAGGCCAGAATTTGGTCCTGGAGATACAGAGCTGAGTGGGGTACTCACCTCGGCCTGGAGTGTCCGCAGGTTGAGCAGATGGAAGTCACATGGCAGTGAGGAAGCCAGAGGGTGAAATGAGCGCAGGCCAGCGGCTGGGAGCTGCCTCTTGGCTACGGGCATGGCAAGCGCTGGAGTATTCAGGTACATGGAGGTCAAGTGGCTGAGGAGGGACGGGTAGCTGGTGGAGCGGCCATCTTGGACCTGCAAGATGGGCAGAGATGTGGGTGAGGGATGAGGATGAGAGCATATCCAGTCAGCTCCTTTGGAAAGAGCTTCCCTGAGGAGTCTGGATACAGGGGTGCCTGGCTCTAGGACCCTTCCCATCTCACACAACTTAGAAAGGGCTATGTCACCAGCCTTCTCTCCTCTACTTTTTGTATTTTTTTGCTTCCATAACACTATCATGAGCAACACTCCCATCAGCAACCTCTCCCATCACAGAGAGAGATCTCAGGGCAGGGAGAAGAAAGAAAGACAGCCAGATGTGTGCTTCACATGGAGTATGGGCCTCTGATGGAGACAGTACTGAGTAATCCTGTGGTTTTAAGTATGACTCCTTATCCACAGGGCCAGCTCTGATTCTCGGGCCCAGTGGTCCTCACAGCTGTGCCGACTGAGGACTATGCCCTGGATGGCTAACCTGGACGTCACACTCACAGGCCTAAGCTGAACTTTCCTCCAAGGCAGCTACTTTTCCATATTCTGGATTTCTCTCCCTAGCGCCACCCTCTGGAATTCCAATTGCCCAGAATCTCTCACTTCCCTCTGCTTTGATCTCCATTCCCACCTCTGCAGTGTCCTCACACCCACCCCTGACTTCTCCCTCCCATGGCTTGGTACAAGCCACCAACATTTCCTGCTTGAACAGCCTTTAAACTGTTACCCCTGCCTCCAGTCTCCCTTCCTGAAGATCCACCTACTCCCTGCTGTCAGAGGGACATGCTTAGGGCAGAGTCCCGACAGTGTCCCTCCCTGCTCAGTTCCTTCACTGGCCTCCAGGATAAAGTCCAGACTCTTCAGCCAGGTATTCAAGGCCCACGACAGTCTGCCTAACCTACCCCGCGCCATGCTCGCCCAGCAAGGTCCAAGAGAACTTTCTGCAATAATGGAAATACACACTATCTGCAATAATACAGTAGCTACTAGCCACTTGTGGTCACTGGCACTCGAAATGCGGCTAGTATGAATGAAGAGTTGAATTTGTTATTGTATTGAATTTTCATTAATTTAAATAGCCGGGTGAGGAGAGTGGCTACCACACTGGACAGGCAGCTCTCATCTAGCTGAGTGAAGTCACTGCTATTCCCCATTCACGCTGTCTTTCCTGCCTCCCACCCTGTGCCTTGGTTCATGTGTGTAGATCAGACCCCCATTCATCAAAGCTGCACTTGGCTGGCACCTCCTCCAGGAAGCTGTCCTTGATCCCCTAGGCCCACAGTGTCTCTCACTCCTCAGGACCAGTGGACATACCCATTTTCTACCTTATATTGTCACACACATAGCTTATCCCCCACCCCTACTCGCGAGTCAATTCCTAGGGAGTAGAGTCAGTATCTTAAGCGTTTGTGTCCCTCTCAGTCCTTACAGCACGGCGGGTGGTCAGCATCTATTTATGAATGAGTGACCGAGCCACAGACACGGGATATCGAGCGGCAGGCTCTGTCATGCGCAGGCTCCAGCCCCAGTTACAACACCTCACTGCTGGCCCCACTCCCGGTTATTGCTCCCGCTGCTGTGAAAGATCAAGCCCCTCAACATGGCTGCCAGTTTGGAGAAAAAGCCAGGCTGGTGGAGGCAAAGAAAGCTGTGAGATGAGCAGGGCTCAAGTGGAGAGGGTGAGAGAACACAAGGGCTGGGGGCAAGGTGGGAGATCAGCACGAGGGGGCACGGGCGACAAGGTGCTGCAGGAGAGGGAGGTGCCAGGCTGCATGAGATGGAGCAGCAAAGCGTCAGACTCGCCCCCCACCCAGGAATCAAGCCCTACTCTGGCTATCCCTCGCCCACCTCAAGCTGCGCCCCTCAAGCCCGAGGCTGGAACCCCAGGGCCACCCACAGGGACCAGCCCGACCTGGCTCCCTGGGCGGGAGGCCCAGACTCTACCTCACTGCCCAGGGTTCGCCGTTCCAACAGGAGGCGGAAACGGTTGCGAGTTCTCTTGTTGTCCTTGAGACCTTGGCCGAGGCCCCGGTTGTCATCCTGCATTAGCCGCCGGTCCAAGATCACCTCCAGCTGGCCTGGGGAAGGTAACTGTGAGCCCCTGGCCTGCCACCTCCTCCCCAAGCAGAGGCCAACCTGTGGAGGAAGAACCGCAACCACAGGCCCCGAGGGAAAAGCCCGGAGAGCTGGTGGAAAGCCATGGAGCCTAGAGCTGGACGGGGCTGAGTGAAGGGCTGACTCCAGAGAGGAGGAAACAAGAGGCCCAGAAGGGGCAGGCTGACCCTGGCAGTTTACCACCCATGCTCCGAGACGCAGGAGAGGGCCCGGCGAGGTGCCCCGGTGGGAACCATACCCGGCCTGGCCACATAACACAGAGCACATGCAACTCCCGTCGATGGCCGTCAGCAGATGCTGCAAAGGCCCCAACCGGGGCAGGTCTGCTCAGCTTGGGCAGGTTTTGTTGTGACTAGAACACATGCTCTCCTGCCCTCGTTTTACACAGGGACAGACCAGCTCTGCGCCTCAACCGTCAAAAGGAGGCTGCAGAGAGGATGGCCAGATGGCAAATCAGGCAGAGGCTCAAATGAGGTGTCATTTGGGGTACCCTGGGGAAAAGCAATGGCAGATGATCACCTTCGCTCTCTCTTTAAAACATGCTTGGGGAAGGGGCTGGCTGCAGAGCCAGCATGTGTTGGGATGAGGCTCTTTCCCAGCATCTGTTTTTTAGGCACCTCTTGAGGGGAGCCACTCAGACGGCCCCAGCTCCCCTTCCACGTCCCCAGCCCTGATTCTGACCTCCCTAGTTCCTCAGTCTTTTCATCCTGAGGAATCACAGAAAGATAGCTGAAAATCCTAAAACAGAGCCCTTGCATGTAAAACAATCATTTCTTAGCACACTGTCTCCCAGAAGGGCAGAGAGAACTAAGCAGGGACACTGGGCTCGGTTAGGAGCCGATGGTGTAGACAGACCTGTGGGAAAGTTTCACAGCCGGGGTGATCCCGGGCGAAGGGGCAGCAGAGCCACACTTCTTGCAGTTGGGAGTCAGGTCCCCCCTGCACTTGCCACCGGCCCCCTGCAGAAGGGGGGCCTGAACAGGGCACTCTCAGCCTAGCCCTGCACAAAGGCTCTGTCCCCAAGAGGGAAGATCTGAGGGCCTCAGAGGCCACAAGTACAAACTGTTCACTTTACCCTGAGGACATGGGAGCCACCTGGTCTTGCCCACGTGACCAGCTCCAGGCCAGTGTTCCTCATACCCTTGTTTGGAGTCTTAAGAGTGTCACTCTCTCTTTTAATGACCATTAATGGAAAAACAGTATGTATTTTTCTTCTTTGCTAAATATTCATTATAACATCGAATGCACTTTTCCAACTGTCCCTACTCCCATCCCTGGCCAGGGGAAGCGGGTTGCACACCTCAGCTGAGAATCACCATTCAACACCCTGATGCTTCTTGAAGGGATCCAACAAGGCACCCACCCCCCAGTCACCTCCATGATAACCAGGGGACAGGGTCAAGCATCGCCTCTGTCAAGCACCCATGTGTGACTGACAGGAGCTGTTAATGACCTGCCCCTTCTCTGAGCGTGGAGATGATGCAGACTGGAAGGGGGGGCCTGCAGAGTGGAGAGCCTTGGGGCGGGGATGGGCTTCTCTTTCTTCTTCTTTACCCTCGCACAGCTCCTGTTCTCCACTCACCATCGTGGAGGCTGGAGACACCCAGGGCCTGGGCAGTATGCAGCGTGAGGCGGTTCTGTGCGTCCTGGATGTAGGCCATGACTGGCATGGGGTAGAAGTTGGCCTGCAGGGGCAGCTTCTTTAGATACCGCCGGGACTGCACCTGTGGGGGCAAGGCCAGCAAATCAAGGGCATCTGGGCACCATTTGGGCCCCAAGGGTCCCCAGTCTGAAGGAGTCCCTGATCACTCTGGCCTCTGGTTCCCCCTTCTCCATCAGGGCAGACCACCTCAGTGCCTATGACAGCGGCAAAAAACACAGTCCATGTTCGCTCCCCGGGTTTTCCGGGGCCCCGGGCCCCAGGAATCACCTGAAAGCCATTGAGGTCCGTGAAGAAGGTGCCCTGGCTGTCAATGTCTGTGTGGATGCGCAAGGCCAGCTCCTTGTTGATGTAGTCCCGGATGTCCACCAGGGATGACACGTCCAGAGACAGCCCCTCCACCCCTAGCCATAGGAACACAGAGAGAGGGTCAAGAGGTTTGAAGATGAGCCACAGCCTGAGAAACTGGGCTGGGAGAGCCCGAGCCCTACCCCCCAGGCCATTCCCAGGCATTTTTGGACGATCTTTACTCTGAGAGAATTAAGTGTCATCCCGTCTCAAATGATACATTTGTTGGGAACAGATGTATGAACAGAATGGGCAGAGGAAGAGCATGTCACACCCTGTGAACCCACATGTCCTTTCTGACCTTCCTCATCTGCAGGGCGCACCTGGCAGATTATAGAGCCGGACCATCTGGTGAACATGCTCGTAGTACGCAACCACTTCTGAGAAGAAAGGGCCTTCAGTGACACGCAGCACGGGAGGATCCTTGGGGACATAGGGCTGGGGAAAGAGCAGGCGGCAGCTGAACCCACAGCACAGAGAGCAAAGCAGGGAGGTAGCAGCCCGGGGTCGGGCAGGAGAAGTGCCTGTCCCAACAGGCTCTGGCCTGATGTCCCCCGCTGAGCCGGGCCTAAGAGCCCAGGCAGAGTTTCTCAGTCCTCCTCTCCTCCCAGAGGCAGCAGAGGCGAGGACCCCAGGCAGCAGGGATCACCCTGGAGGTGGGCCTGTGCCCTTCCTCGTGCCCTCCCTGTTAGCGAGGCCTCCCAGGGCTGTTGGGGATTGCAAGGTGTCCTTAGGTACCTGGGCCTCGCCGTCAGGCAGGAAGAGGTAGGCTCCACTCTTGTCTTTGGACGTGCGGGTGCCATAGATGAGGAACTCCACGTCCACCCGCTGCTCCTGCTCCTCGTCCACCCTTCGGATGCTCTGCCAAAACACACAGCCCTGACCCCTGGCCCCACACCAGCATGTCAGGCCTGCCCCCTGGGGGGACATGGACGAACTTCCCCAAGGAGCCTAGCCCAGTTTCCCCATGCTGTCAGCTCAGAGGCAACATGGCCCACTCCCGGGTCCACCGTCAGACAGGCAGCAGCCCGCTCACAGACCCGGAGACAGCTCGGCACAACCCCACCAACACACATGGCCTCCTCTGGCTCCCAGTCCCTGGGCCTTTACCTTGAGGAGCCCAGTAAGGCCTGAGAACCAGACCTGCATGTAGCGGTTGCTGAGGGCGAAGTCGCTGGTACCCGAGTCAATGACGCGTAGAGGGAACGCTTCGTGCCTGCTGACAGACAGCTGCCGGCCATGCAGGTAGACACGCACGGAGGAGGGCAGGGTGCGGTGCCCATCCAGGCCCAGCTGCAGCTGCAACACGCCGAGGCCCAGGGCCGGCAGGCGGACAGGCAAAGACACCTGCTGGCACAGGAGGGGTGAGGAGCAAGGGCCACAGCATGGGCCTCAGTTCCGGATGCAGGCCTGGGATTCTAGTGCTGGGGCATTCAGTTACTAACAGAGTCTGAGCAAGTCCCTGCACCCACTGGGGCTTCTGTGCCCTCCTGTGAAAGTGGAGGTGATATTACTTGCCCTTCATCAGACTTTTATGAGTCTCAAATGATATCTGAAAAACTATGAAGTAGTAACCACACATTAAGCTTTCAATAAATACTTGTTGAATGAACAATGGGGAAACATAACTGCCATTTTTACTATTATCATTCCCATACCAAACTTTACCTTCCCTTCAAGGAGAGATTCAAATCCCAAGAGTGAGTGTCTTCTGGGCAACCCCTCTCCCCAAGACTCCTGTCCCCAACCTGGGGAGTAAGCAGGGCCGCAGCAGGAGGGTGGGAAGCAGGTGTCAATGGGCAGAGGCCACAGATCAGCACACACGGCCGGGGCCCACCTGCCGAGCACCCCCTCACCTGGCAGACGTCGGGGACCATGTCAGTGGCAGAGCTCCAGTGTGCGCTGATCTGCACAGCCAGGGGCTGACCCTCCTCCGAAAGGACACGCACCCGGGGTGAGCTGACCAGCAGGGATACCAAGCTGAGCCGCTCCTGTTCCAGCGGGTTGAACAGCACCACATACCTGTGGGTAGAAGGTAGGCTCGCCCAGGAGGCTGCTGCTCCCAGTTGGTGGAAGCAGGAACAGTGGCCAGGCTGAGGCCTGCAGTGGGAGGGTGCTGAGAGCCAGGGAGCAGCTTGGCCTCTGCACCTGGCTGGGCCGGCTCACCTGGGTGAGGAATCCAGCTGGATCACTGTGCGCTCTGGCAGGGCATCGTGATTTAAGCGGGTGTCATCCTGGAATTAAGTGGGCAGGAAGGAAAGAACCACCATGGGGCTCAGCCGGACTCCAAGTCTTACCTTCTCCCTCCCCCGGCCTGTCCTGGATGTGGACCACTAGCTGCACTGGGCACAGATCTTTCATCCCAGGATGGGGAAGGAAAAGAGGAGCAACACCCTCATACCACAGCTCTTGGGATGGGACCCGCATGCACCAGAGGGTCCCCCTGAGCAGATCCAGGGACGGGGCTCACCATTTGGAGGAAGGGCGCCTCAGGGTCAAAGCGGTAGGTCTCCTTGTCCCCCAGCACCAGATAGTGAGCTGCATTAATGATGACTTGCTTCAGGTTGACAAGGGAGCGCAGAAGCCTGGGCGGGGCGGGGGAGCAGGAGAGGGACCATAGAGATGACCACAGACAGATTATCCGCCTTGCAGCAGGACAAGCCCTCAGCAGGCCTTCCCACCACTGACCGCCCAGCATATCTGTTCTTTGGGACAGTGGGTGGGGGTGTGGAGCAGAGGGGGGAGAGAAAAGGGCTCCCACCTGACCCCATAGTCCACCACAACTGCCTCCTTGGCAGTGCCAGTGATGGCATCGTGGTGCTGGAAGAGCCCCAGTGTGCGCCGAGCTTCCGTCAGAAGGGCAAAGTTTGAGAGCGGGTACTGGCTAGCCAGTCCAGAGCGGCGAGCGTGAGTGACAGCCAGGCTATACAGAATCTCTGCCCCCCTGCCCAGAGAGAGAAGTCAGCCGCCTGCCCACACAACTCCCCAGGGTCCCACCCTCGCTCTCAAGGGCCACCCCTCTCCTTTCCACCACTTCTCCACCTGCCTTGGTCCCTGTGCCCTTCTAGTCCTTCCTGAGCCAATCCAGCCCCTCCTCAAACCCCAGAGGCTTACTCTACTCCCTCCAGCCTGGAAGGAGGCGGGTCTCACCGCAGATGGGCTTCCAAGACACGGTCCAAGTTCTTGTAGAATGGCCGGGAAGTGTAATAGCCCGTCCAGTAATGGTCCTCTCGGTCCGCGTAGGAGAAGAAGTCCCCACTCAGCACAGGAAACCCTGGAGGCCGGGCCCCCGGCTCCACCCCTGTCCTCTTGTACAGAGCGTCAAAATAGTCAGAGAGGGTGCCAAACTGGGCCTGTAGGGACCCCAAAAATCCACTTCCATCAGTTCCAGAGTATTCTAGGAATTGTGGCCCCCAGTGCTGCAGCTGAGGGCTAGGGGCGGGGATTCTGCCCACACAGAGGGCAGTCACTGTATGTCCCACCCTTCTGGACTTCACGCAGAAGAAGTGGAGCCTGGGAAAGAATCTGACATAAAAGGGAAACCTTGCCCAAGAGTTAGGAATAAACCCCTGCTCTGGAGCCGGTAGCGGGAAGCAGGCAACCTCAAAGGGAAGGCTGGGCTGCAGCACTGCAGGGCCCCTCCCCAGCTCAATGGTCGCTCACACCTGCACATGGAGGTCAGGCTTGCTGTTGAGGAAGTCAAAGAGCCGCTGGTAGTTGAAGAACTGGGCATCCCACTCCTGGGGCTTGTCATATCGGAAGTCATCGCCCAGTGGCACCAGGAGGACGTTGCTTCGGAACAGCCGGGACTTCTTCCGGTACTGGTCCAGGAGCAGGGCTGCTCTGCGGGCGGGAAAGGGCATGGGCCCGACATGAAGTCTCAGTGTTGCAGGATCTTGAGCAGAGCCAGCCTGAGGGAGGCCCCCCTGAAACATCCCCACCAAGGAGTCATTCAGCCTGCGGGTGGACACCTCCTGGGGTGGGAAACCTGGGGCCGGGAGCCCAGTGTTCTCTGGATGGTTCTGACAACCGGAGAGTTCTTCCTATACTAGGCTGCAATTTATGGCTTCAATTCCCTGACTCCAGTTCTGCCCTTGGACAGAACAAATCAGTCTTCCTTCCCCACAATTATCCTTCAGACATATCAAAGATGTGCTCACAATCCTCTGTGCTTTCCCTCCAGGCTCTACAATCCCTCCGTTTGGTCCCTCCGTAACAGTCCAGAATGTGCTCACCAGCATTTCCCTGAACATCTGCCAGCGGCCCACCGCTAAATACGGGGCTCCAGGGTGGGCTGACCGGCAAAGGGAAGACAGAACCACACCCCTCAGTCTGGCCTGGTGCTTCCATGGGAGCAGTGTGTGTTTACACAGGCCACCGTCACCCCACAGTGCTAACGTCAGTTAGTGTTTTCCATGTGCATGGCTCAGCAAGATCTTTTCTCCTCATCCTGAACTTTCCTATTCTGTTTTCTGAAGCTAAGGGTGGAACCTTACATGTATATCTAATAAATCCTATCTGGTTAGATTTGGCCCACATCGCCCCCTGTTGAGATCTTTTGGGATCCTGATTCTGACACTCCAGCTTCATTTCGCCCACCAGGCAGTGATGCAGCACAGCACTGGAGTGAAGAGCTGGACTCGGAGCCAGACTACGCCAACGCCAGCTCCACATGCACTAGCTGAGTGACCTTGGGCAAGTGACTTAACGTCTCTGAGCCTCAATTTCTACACAATGAGGATAACACCAGTTCCTACCAACTAAATGAATGAATATTTGTTAAACACTTAGAATAATGCCTGGTAGAGGAGGAAGTCAAGATGGTGGTGTAGGCAGACTCTGAACTCACCTCCTCCCGCGGACACAGCCAATTTACAACTACTCGTGGAAAAACTACCCCTGAGACAGCTGAAAACTGGATGGGAGGAACTCCTGCAGCAACGTACAATCCTAATTGAGGTGGAAGAGGCAGAAACTCCCTTCTGGAGAGAAAAAATGCCGCCTTCGCAAGCCGCGGCACTTCGCGGCTGCCCAGGAGCAGCGCACAGGTCCGCAGCCCTCCCTGGAGGAGCGGGGCCCTGAGCCAGGGAGCGGCCCCCCCTGTGGGCATTTTGTGGACCCAGCACAATCAAGACGAGTGGCATAATATCTGACTTTGCCTGCTACTAAAACATTGGGGAGCACCCCCAGAAAAGCTGGTTCACAAAGAAATTAAAACCAGCTCTTAAAGGGCCCACGCGCAAACTCACCCGTTTCAGAAAGCAACCTAAAATCACCAGAAAG